TGATTCAGGGGGTACCAAAGGCATATAAATTTGGATGTCGTCAGTGTAAAAATGAAAAGAAACATTATGACTGGATATAATAGACGCAAGAGATGACATATATAACGAGAATAACAAAGGAGCAAGAATGGAACCTTGCGGAACGCCTGAGATCAAAGGAGCAGTGCTGGAGGACTGGTCGCCAATCATGACCGAATAAGTTCTATTTGTAAGGTACGACTCAAACCAGTTTAAGACCTTACCTCCCAGGCCAAAGAGGTGCTTTAACTTCAAAAGTAAAATAGAGTGGTCTACCGTGTCAAAGGCGGCTGACAGGTCGAGCAGAGCTAGAACGACAGGGCGTCCCGCATCCAAAGCCAGTGCGATATCATTATGCACTTTGATTAACGCGGACTCAGTGCTATGTTTAGATGTGAATCCGGATTGAAATTTGTCGACCATTTCTAGCCGATCTAAGTGAGCTTGGAGCTGGGCAGACACCAGCTTCTCCATAACTTTAGAAAGAAAAGGGAGAAGAGATATCGGGCGAAAATTTCCTAACACAGTTGAGTCAAGGTTGGGCTTTTTGAGCAATGGTCTAATTATTGCATGCTTCAGAGTCTGAGGGACTAGTCCCGAGCTCAAGCAGGAGTTGATAAAAATGACCAACCAAGGGCCAATGGTGTCAATCGACTCTTTAAAAATCTTTCCAGGAAGGGGATCCAGAGGGGAAGCTGCAGATTTCAGCTGACGCATACATTTCTTAAGTTGCACAATGGATATCTGTGAAAACGAAGTGAAAGTATGGGAGGGGTGGGAGACAGATAGGATATAGGAGGAAGGATGCGGGACACTCTGCTTGATGGCCCGGGTCTTTACATTAAAATGCATTAAAAACTCATTGCAAACAGTATTTGAGGTCTCAACAAATACAGCACTAGAGGGATTAATAATCCCATTAATGGTCTTAAACAGTACTCAAGGCTGATGACTATTCTCACAGATAATGTATTGCAGATACAATATGTAGATATTGAGACTTAGCTGCGTTCACATCTCTCTGATATGCCAGACGAGTGTCTCTCAAAATGGCTAGTGAGACTTGCAGACCGTCCTTCCTCCATCTACATTCGGACTGTGTACAATGTCTCCGATGGGCACGAGTAACATCATTAAGCTAGGGCTGAGAGTTGCTTCTAGGTCTTTTCCTCCTGGCTGGAGCAATAGCATCCATAATCCGGACACAGGTGGAGTTGAACTCAGATAGGACGGTCTCTGGAGATGACAGGACCTGCTGTATTCCAGGGGAGTGAAGACCCGAGGCCAAAAAGGCAGCAGCGAAGTCCGATGATGTAGAAGATGTAATCATTCTGCGGTTCTGGAGGGGGGCCTTCGGGCCAACAATAGACTCGGGCCCCTGAGCCTCAAAACAAATGACCAAATGATCAGAAATGACTAAATCAAAAACATCATTAATGGAAACCGCTAGGCCTCGAGAGATAACCAAGTCAAGCGTTCCTCCCCACTGATTAGTGGGGGACTGAATTGACTGGGTAAGATCAAAAGAGTCTAAGAGCGCATTAAAATCATTGGCTAATTGATTCCCAGGGTTCTCGACATGAATGTTAAAATCTCCACAGATCAGGAAGTAGTCAAATTGTAGAACATATGTTGATAAAAAGTCTCCAAAGTCATTAATAAAATCTTTCGATTTGGGAGGCCGGTATATGAGTGCACAAAAAATGGGATGATCCTGAATCAGAATAAAAGGTAGAATCTCGAAACTGGGATAGATTTTGACCGGGATACGGTGACATTTCAGAGTCTGCTTAAACACAGACACTAAGCCACCCCCTTTCCTAGTGAGCCGAGGGGAATTAAAAAATAAATAATCGGGGGGTAGCAGTTCCGAGAAGACACAATTTTCTTCAGGCTTCAGCCAGGTTTCAGTAACCAGGAACATATCCAGATCGTGTGTAGTGATAAAATCATTCAGAATAAACGTCTTGTTGTTAAGAGACCTGGCATTAAAAAGAGCAAGACGAAGCAGGCTTGACTTCCCCAAATCCATGACAAGTGGCATAGGGACAGTTTCAACCTCACAGCACCAATAAAATCCAACACTAAAACTGTCTGGGCAAGGAAACGGTCCCTTTGTTAATTTTTATGTACATAACCAATATAGATCTCCACTGTTGTAACTGGCATGCCAGTTTGTGTTCACTGGACAATGTTAGTACATTTCATTTATTTTAAGTACTCCATTTAACCACTACTGTAAAAAAGACAGAAAAGACTGTGATACATACAGGTTTGTTGCATGACACCTGAATACAATTGACAAAGAACTCATTTTCATGATAGGGCCATTTCATCTTTATCGGATGCATACTATGATAATATAAGGAATCAACTGTCCTGCTTCTGTCTCCTTCACTTTTCTTCTTACCTTTCCTCAGGTCTTCCTCTGAATTACTTGCTTTAAGGATGGAAAAGAAAGACAAACAAAGCATGCCCTATCTTTGATATCATCCTCCAACACCAGATGTATGGAACACTCAGTCTCAGCATAAGATCAAAGTGATTTTTACTGTAATCAGGCCCTTTTAAGGCTCTACATGACCAGGCCCTGTAATCATCACCACCAATGCCTGAAATGTATGACTAATAAAGTGCAAAGTGCAAAGTTGTTGAGATACAATACCCTAGAGTACATGTAAAAGACATATATTTATCATTTACATATAACAGAATCAGGGGCTCAAGCCAAACACGCAGTCAACAGAGAGATGAAGTCATGGTATGGTTTCTTGCTCCAGTCAGAACTTGTGTGACATTAGACTGCCACCTACTGATTACACGGGGTGTCTAAAGCTTTTCAGTGCATTAAAATTCCATGGAGTGATCTGGTCGCAGCATAATCCCATAAATGGCAAACACTTTCCACAGCTCCTCTTTCTGGGCAGCCTGTGGAAGTAAACACCAAGCTCAGGGCACAAAAAGTGATTACAGCCTTAATGAAACTGTTTGTTCTCAGTAAGATTTGCAGGCCTACATTAAGAGAGAACGGTCACTTGGGACGTTGTAAACTTCAATCCAGCCCAAAAGATCAAAAACAGGGATATAGCTATTTTTGTTCTGTTTATTTTTGATGTAGCCTGTGGCATTTTACAAGTTCTTGTCTCAGTCTTTTAAGCTATTTTGTGACATGGGCAAATACTGTACAGCAAATATGTAATGTAAATATACCCTACTTAGTTGCCGGCGTGTGTTAACGTATAGGCCTACGGTAAAATAATTGCCACTTCCAGAAGAAATGTGATTCAAAAGATTTGCTGAAATGTAATGATATAAAAAAACACAAAATTAATATAATCATGACATTTTGATGGATATTTACGTTATTAAATTATTTTGGTATCATGCTACGGATAACGAAGCTGGAGGAAAAACTAGTATATTGTTAAAAATGGCAACATACCACGGCTAAGCCAAGCACTGGGACACAAGTGTACATTTAGCTGTGTCATCCACCTGGTTAAATTGAGCGGGCGGTCATTTGTATCTTTGGTTTAAATGCCTCCCGCCCGGGCTGTCATTGCTTTACCAACCCAGCTAACCCTACACATTCAGGAAGTGACAGCAATAGACCGATACAAAACAGAAACAACGGTGGTTAGTGGGAGTCGTTGTGTGCGCAGGACAAGCAGATATTTTATATTTTAGACCTAATTACCCTACTAGTTGTGCTGTGGTTTTAACGATGCCTTCTTGTACAACGGAGAGAAAGACACCGAGTGTTGTTTTTGCTGCCGTTGTGCTGTATATTAGCCTTGTTAGCCCGGGGGAATGCCAAACAACTCCACCACCACAAACTCGTAAGTAGAATTTCAGTTAGAAAACAGTCGTTTTCTTTCTTTCTTTTACAGTTGTTGCTAAAGGTAACGTTCTCAGTATTAAGACACTTTAATGCCACTGTCTTAGATGGTCAGTACATTAGTGATATAATTGGCTTTTATTACTCTAAATAGTTAACGTACTTTTCTGTTTCTTTTCAGCCTGCTCCGCCTACAAAAACTGTGACACTTGCGTTCCACATCCTCAGGTAAGGTCGCCATGAGTAACGTTACAGTTAATGTGGGTGCAGTAACAATTTGAATAAGACCGGACCTTTGCTCTAAAATTTCATACTGTTATAAATGGATGTTTTATGGTTTACCCCACCCCCGTTAGCACGTATAGCGCCCTACTGAATACACGATTTACTCACGCAGGGGCTTGATCTCTATGTTTGTGTTTTGTCTGCACAGTGTCTGTGGTGCTTCAGCACCAACAACTGCACTGACTACCCAGTGAGCTGGTTGCTGCCTCCAGGCTCAGTGTGCCAGTTGGCCCAGGCCCGGTGGGGAGTGTGTTGGCGTGAGTTGATCAGTTTTATTATGTTGTGAAAGATGGTGACGCGGTCTGCTTTTCTCTTTCGTTTGTCACTTGACACTAGTGGAGATCCTCATCCCACTGGTGTTGTAAAGAGGTGTTTCCTGCTAGAAAACTACACATCAAGATTTTGTTGGATTTCATTGGAGAATGAAACTGTTGGGCAACGTAGTCAGCTGTAGTGGTTTAGAGATTCAAGGAAATGCAGATGGTGTGTGGGGATTGGGGGCTGGATATGAAGAAGTTGCTGTAATGGTGTAGTGCTCTGCAAATTCAGCATGTAAACCAAAGAACTTGCACAAAAACTGTACAATGGTGGGTTTTCCCTAGTTCCTGAGATGGTAGTACATAGGAATATCCAATCAGCTGTTTGATTAGCTCGGAGATGCTGCCAGTTACACAAAGGTTCATCCAAAACTGATTGTTGACTGACAGGTCATTCTTGTTGCCAGCTTGCATTTCAGTTTGAGATCAAGTTACCTCTCTGTTACTTTTCAGTGCCCACAACTCACTGTTGTATTTACATTTACATTTGTTTTTACATTCATGTGAATTAGGTGCTCTACCCAAACACTTAGGTTCTAAGACTTTTTATGGTAAGTTATGCAGTGTATAACTTGTATAAAATAGATACAACAATAAAAAGATAAAAACAGTACAAGCATGAAAACAACAAAAAGTTAGTGCTGTCAGGAGCTCATGTATTGTACAGCTGGAAATCCTGAAAACAATTCACCTATGCATCATATGGGTAAGTTCAAATCTAGGAGGCATATAATTGCAGGGTTCAAATCCAGGTTGCATCAGGAAGGGCATCTGGCGTAAAACGTGTGCCAAATGTCAACATGCGAATTGTCAATGTGACGATTCGCTGTGGCGACCCCTAAATGGGAAAAGCCGAAAGTGACTTTCTATTGTCTATGTGGTGTTTTCCAGTTATAAAATGTGTGTAGCTCATACTTGAGTGTTAATTTAATTGCACAATTCATCCTTTAAGCTTAAATTTCACTATGCATGGAGTGAATAGTGTTGCTAATAAAGATGCTGATATGGAACTTGGAGTTAATGTTTGTGAATAAGAAGAATAATAGATCAAACTATGAAGACACTTGTCTAGTCATGTTGTTCACTAGGTGTTCACTAGGGTATAGCCACATCTGAAAACAGAACTAAAACAGCTCATTCAATTTAATTCAAGTTTTTTAGTAATTGTGCTCTATGGTAGAGGACACATTTCATATCTTTAGGCATTCTTGTCACTTACCTGATACCTTTCTTCTTATACTGTAGTGTCTGCTTTGAGAGACAGGTTCAGATGATGAAATTCATACTGTATGCTCAATGGGTAGGTTAGCTAGCTAGTACACTACTATATGAATGGGGAAAAAACTTGGGCAGGCTGTTTGTTTTTTTTTTTTAAATATTATCTAAGTAACCACCTTCGGGTTGCTCAGAACAAAAAAATATATAGCTGTTTAGATTGTTGCCATGATAATAAAGACCTCCAACACTGTACAGAACCAGGGTACACACTGTTTGAAAAGTATCCTCATGCCATCACTTTTGTACACTTCATCATGTGGTGGATTTAATTTTAAAAGGATAAAATTGCCATTTTGATGATCAGTCTACACTCACTAACCCGTAATGACAAAATGAAAACATGTTTTTAAAAATGTTTGCAAATTTATTTAATATCTAAAACTGAAAGTTCTCATTTACATAAGTATTCTGAACCTTAGTTCAGTATTTCAGAGAAGCCCCTTTGGTGGCAGTTACAGCTTCAGTCCTTTTTGCACACCTGGTTTTAGGTGGTTTTTCCAATTCTTCCCTGCAGATCAGAATGGATGGGAAGAGTTAGTGAACTGCTATCTTCAGGTCTCTCCACAGATATTCTCTGGGGTTTATGTCTGGGCTTTGTCCACCCAAGGACAGTCAGAGAGTCCTAAATCTTTTTTCTTATACTCTCCACAGTACTTTAAATACTGACAAACTACAAGCAGTTGTCATCTCAAGTGTCATCCATCTAGCTGCTCTACCATAAAGACCTGATTGATGGAGAGCTGCTGAGATGGTCATCCTTCACTTTTGGACCTCTGAGAATAACTGTTGGGTTCTTGGTCACCTCCCAAACCAAGATCCTTCTTGCCCAGTTACTCAGATTAGCCGGAAAGCCACCTCCAGGAAGAGTCCTGGTGGCTTCACACTTCCTCCATTTCCCAGTTCCTTTCCACTGTGCTCCTGGGAACCCTCACAGCTAAAACAGTGGTTTGATACTGTTGTCTTGCCACAGTTTTATCACAGTGGTCTAGTGTGAAATGTGGGGACCTTATATCTACAGGTGTGTGCCTTTCCAAACTGCCTATTCTAGTCAATGAATTTGTAAACATTTCTAAAAAAAAAAGTCTAACAATCTGCCCTCGCTTATAAAGTGAACATTTATTTTTATCCATTACTACAAAGTACACAAAAACCGAAGGGGTCGGAATACTTTGTGAACCCACTGTATTTACATTCTTACTGTTGTGTCGTGATCACTGCTGGTAGTTTGGCTGTTTTAGTTCTCCACTAGGTACTGCTAAAGGTCAAAGGTCAAAATTTGTCATATGCACAGTTAGGAAAAGTGTTTTCCTGTACAATGAAATTCTTACTTTGCTGTCCACATAAATGCCACACAATAAAAGTGAAATATAAAGTAGATGAGCAATAACACAAATCTAAGGCACTTTAAAGCAGCAAGTGAAGGAAGCAAATAAAAATTACAACAAGAACACAATATAATGCAGAGAGAATATATGCTACGTGGGAGCCATGAAGTGCAAATATTCAGCAGTGAGTGTGCAATTATGCATGTTCAAAATGAGTATGTAAACAGTACAGATGGAATTACATGAGGTAGATCCTGAGTCAGCTCTTTAGGAGTCTGATGGCAGTCGGAAAGAAAGAGTTTTTCAGGCTAGAAGTCCTGCATTTCACACTTCTGAGCCTCTGACCGGAGGGTAGGGGTATGAACAGTCTGTGCTGGGGGTGGGTGGGGTCCTTGAGGATGGAGGCAGCTTTCCTACGCACGCAGCTGGTCAAGATGCTCTCAATGATGCAGCTGTAGAAGTTGCAAAGGATCCTAGGCGACATGCCAAACCTCCTCAGGAAGTACAGCTGCCATTGGGCCTTCTTGACCAGATGTGTGGTGTTAAGTGTCCAAGTGAGGTCCTCACTGATGTGGACGCCCTGGTATTTGAAGCTGCTCACCCTCTCCACTTCAAGCCCCTGGATGAACAGTGGCCGATGAGTTCTCCTCTCCTTCCTCGTGTCCACTATTATTACTTGCGTCTTAGCCGTGTTGAGGGTGGCATTATTGTCTTTGCACCATGACACCAGACCAGCCACCTCCCTCCTATAGGCTGCTTTGTCCACACTGGTGATGCGACCTATCACTGCGGTGTTGTCCGCAAACTTTAGGATGATGTTGTCCTTGTGGGAGGTGACACAGTCGTGAGTGAACAGGGTGTAGAGTATGAGACTGAGGACACATCCCTGTGGGGTGCCGATGTTTGTGATAATGCTGGCTGAAGTCCTATTGCCAATCCTGACAGTCGAGGGCCTGCCAGTCAGAAAGTCCAGGAGTCAGTCACAGAGGGTGGGGTGCAGACCCAGTGTGGATGTGATGTCCTCCATCGCTTTAATGTATTACCAAGCAGAAGTGAAACACATGCATTTTAGTTCTGCAGGAGTGGACAAAGTCTCCTTGTGATCAAGTTTTCTTTTGTGTCTTAGTTACATTTTCTCTGGAAACAGAAATGTAGTGTGTACTTTTTTTTTACAGTGTTGCAGAGAAGTCAGCAGGTGGCGTCATCCCCTAACAAGTCGAATGTGTAATGGCATTCCAGGGGAAGAAGTTTAAGGTTTCCTGTAATGTATAAATAAGTTCTGATCTTGAAAGATTATGAATATTTGTTTTTTCATATGATTCAGTGAACTTTGAAGCCCTGATCATTGCCTTGGCTGTGCTGGGCGGGACCATCATCATCAGCATCACTGTGTGGTGCTGCTGCTGTTGCTGTTGGTGCAAGAGGTGTCAGCAAAGGTAAGGTTAAATCACAAGTCAGCTGTGTTCAAGTGTTGTATATAATTTTGAGTGAACAAAATGTTAGAAACCTGTCATTTACTAGAAAAAAGTCTTAAAAAGCACCTATTTCAGTTTTCCTTTAAAGGTAAATAATTTTAGGCCTTATCATCCCTACTGGTTTTCATGAATCCTTTTTATACTTCAACCTTTACAGCCATGAAACAGACATTAAAATGCATCTGTGTGGTATTTAAAAGTCTTAAATTTAGCTTGCTGAACCCTGCAGAAACCCCATAAAAAGCTCTTGGTATGCCCTGGTATCCTAGTAGTTGAGGCACATGCCACATAATTGCTGTGTTCACGGTTCAACCCGACTCGGGGGCCTTGGTTGCACGTCATACCCTGCACCCCCTTTCCTTGTATTTCATGTCTGTATAGCTCAACTTCCACTCTGTGTTTATTTGTGTGTGTGTGTGTGTGTGTGTGTGTGTGGTGCTGTCATTCATTGTGCTGAAGTGAGCTGCAAATATCATGTCAGCCAGTCAGCTGCAGGCTGGCCTGTCATACGCGGACAGTTCTGTGGGTGTTGGAGTCTCCTTCATGTCTTTTAAATGACAGGAAAAAATGCGAGGCAGAGCATCCCCGAAGCACGTGCACTTACACACTAAAGATTCACTATAATTGATTCTGTCATAATGTTGCTTTCGTCAACGAAAATTATGACTAAATATCGTCGTCAACGAACCTTTATCACGTGACGAAAACTAGACGAGACAACAAAAATGCTGGTCGTGAGGATATCTATAATTAAATATATAATGCAATACTGTTGACGAAAAAATGAGACAAAATGTGGTTTACAAAATAAAAACTATGCTAAAATGTTTCTTCTTCTTTTCGTTGACCGAAATGAAATGTTATAATGTTATTTCGTCTCATTTAGTCGCGTTATTATTATTTTGCAGTATTTCTGTTTTCTTTGTATGCAGGCGACGTCACTTTCTTAAGCCCCACTCGCGGCATTATTTAGAAGACGACAACAAACAAAGTTAAGTCTTGACACAGAGAAAGAGACCGATGGCCGGCCAACCAGGGTTCGTCTTTGGGAGAAAAAGAAGAAATGACATTTGGAAAAACCTTCATTACATAGAAGTGGAAAAGAAAACGGAATGTGTTGTGGAAAAACATGGGGAGAAATGCGGCCACAAAATCACACAAAATGTTTATTGGATCTATTCTTGAGTCTATAAGGTAACAATAATATAAGATAACCTTGTTTGAAATGGGTTTGGCTCAAAGAAAATTTTGGTTTCATCTATACTACTAGGTACTTATACTATATTGACTGGGTTAAATAGAATTGCATTACTAAAAAGAGACTAAAATACAATTGCTTCACACAAAGACTAGACTAAAACTAAAATTAAAACAGGCCGCCAAAAACAACTGTATTGTCATTACATTTTTATTTATCTTTTCATTTACTGTACCTAGAGGCAGTTTTGTTTTCTCACCTCCTGATTGTTCAGCCTCCATTAAATAAGGAAATTTCGTTTTCGGTGGTGACACACCTTGTTTCTGTGGCATAAATTTCACTTTACATTTCTAACATCAATTTCCTGTTGTTTCTCAAGCTGAGATCATTTGTGAATCAAATATAAAACATGCTCTGCAGAATTTGAATCTGTAACTTCTGAGTTCAGCTTTTGTTCTCTATTTCTGTGAACAGCAGTTATTCTCATTGTCTTTTTTAATGCCTCCTTATGTCTTTAGGCCTGACAGAGATGAGGAGAGATTTGACAGGAGGAGAGAGGAGAACAGAAAAT